TCAATATGGTATACATCTCAACATAAATAAAACAAAAATCCTCACTACTGGACCAACAGACAACATCATGATAGATGAAGAAAAGACCTGTTGGGGTTTTTTTCCCACCTGATCCAAGACATGGTTTGTTCAGTTGCTTCCTGTGCATTTGAAAGTTGGACAACAAATAAGGACACTGAAGGAGAATCAAGGCCTTTGAATTGTGATGTTGGAAACAGTACTAAATATCTTGTTGACTGCCAAAAGAACAAAACAAGTCTATCTTGGAGGAAGTGCAGTGAACGCGTTCCTTAGAGGCAGGAATGGTGAAACTACTTCACATGCTTTAGACATGCTGTCAAGGGGATTAGTCCTTGAAAAAATATTTGTGCTGGGGAAGGTGAGGGTCAGAGAAATAAAGGAAGACCTTCAACAAGATGGACCTACACCGTGACCACAACAATGGGCTCGAGCATATCAGAGATACTGAGGATGGTACAGAAGAGGGCAAGGTTAGGATGTATTGTTCATAGGATCACTGTAAGTCATAATCGAATCATTGTACTTGATTTGATGGCACCTAACAATAACAACAAAACATAGAGATCTAGTGCCATAGTCTGTAGGTAATTTTGCTGCTAATCTGAAGACTATGCCTCTCTGGTAGTTAAAATCCAGTGACTTTGATGGAGGAAAAGGTGCAGTCTCCTCTTTTACAATGTCCATCCTCAGAAATGCACTGGAGGGTAAGCTATGAGTTGGTTCTGACTCAATAGTAATGAACATTATTAATCTAAAACACAAAAGACAACCTACTCCCAATATCGTGAAGTATGCCTCACAGTGACCCTAAGAACAACATATATGAAACCTGTGCTATCCTGTACCATCCTCAAAATCTCTACCATACTCAAGCCCACTGAAGCAGTCACTGAGTTGTCTATCTGATTGAAAGTCTTCCTTTCTTTTGACAACCCTTCACTTTTCCAAGTATGGTGTCCGTCTCAAAGGAATAGCTTCTCCTAAACATGCCCAAAGTATATGCGATGAAGCTTCACTACCTTTGTCTCTGAGGAGAATTCTGGCTATACTTTCTCCAAGACAAATCTATTCTTTTGACTTTCCCAATGTAACACATCGCCTGATCTTTGAATGTTGTTACCAAGAGTGTTGATTGTGGATCCAAGTAAGATTAAGTCATTGACAGTTTAAGTATTTTCTCCATCTAGAAACATTCTTTTGGATTCAGTTGTAAATATTAACTTTTTAAAAGAATGTGCTAATGTTCTGTGAGAACAATGATTTTGAAAATCACTACCTCACTCCTGGTTGCTGTAATGCTAAATGCTGTGACACTGATGTGTCAAATGCAATAATGGTTACCCATGGTGAACAGTGTTTGGCGGAACTCCATGATAAAAACAAGCTTGGAAACATGAGTGGCATCCACTTCCAAAATAGTGTGCCTCTGGAAATTTTATGAACGTGGAGAAAAGACAAAAGTTATACAAGTATTCAGGTCTTTTGTTCATAGGGTCGCTATGAGTCATTTATGACTCAATGACACCTAGCCACAACAACAGCAACATCAAGGAGAGGGGTCTGTTGGCCTAGTGGATAGAAGTGATGCTACCAAGCCAAAGGTGGGTGATTTTAACCTGTGGCCCTCAGGCCTGGTTTTAATTGGTTTTGGTTAAACATTCTTCTAAGTGTGCATCACTGATTTATCCATTTGTTATACAGAGGTAACTCATGGTTCCTGTGATGCTAAACATTCTGACACTGTTATGTCAAATGCAATAATGGTTACCCATGGTGTACAATGTACAATGTTTGGTGGAGCTCCCCAATTAAAACAAGCTTGGAAGCAGGAGTGGCATCCACTTCCAAAATAGCTTGCCTCCAGAAATTCTATGAACCTGGAGAAATGATGAAAGTTATACAAGTGTTCAGGTCTTTCATTCATAGGGTCTCTATGAGTCGTCTATGACTTGACGGCATCTAGCAATAGTCACGATATTGAGGGAGCTCTGGTGGCCTAGTGGTAAGAAGCTGTGCTACCATCCAGAAGGCATGCAGTTTGAGGCCACCAGCTGCTATGCAGGAGAAGGATGGGCAATCTCCTCCTGTGCTATTAACTGCCTCTGAAAAGCCACTGGAGGGTTCTGACTTATGATACACACCAACAAACAACAACATTATGATATTGCCTATTGGTCAAGTAGTGAGAATTTCTGTTTTCTTAATATTAAGATGTAATCTACATTAAAATAAGCACTTCAAGTCCTCTTCACTTTTAGCAATCAAGGTTGTTATGTCATGAGCGTATATGTCTTTCTCAGATCTTGATACAGAAAGGTTAGGATTTATAACACAATTTTTTGGGGATATTAATCAATCCATAAAAATCATGATATTGCCTATTGACCAATCGGGAGGATTTCTGTTTTCTTTATATTGATTTGCAATTCATACTGAAGGCTTTGGTCTTTCTCAGGAAGTGCTTTAAAATCTTCTCTTTAAACAAGCAAGGATGTATCATCTGTACATTACGGATTATTACTGAGTCTTCATTAAATCCTGATGCTGAGTTCTTCTTTGTGTAGTACAGGTTTTCAGACTGTTTGTTCAATGTATAGATTATGTATGGTGAAAGGATACAACCTGCTAGGGTACTGAGAGATTCTCAGCTCTGGTACAGTAGCTGGGCACAGTCTAGCAAGATTGTACCCAAAATGAATGTTGTAAGAGCAGTGAAAGAACAGACAACACAGGGAGAAATCTAGTTAAAAAGAGGGGAAAGTTCATTAAGAAAGAGAGTCTCAGAAGATGAGAGCAGGTCTACCCACAAGATATAAGAGTATTTAAACACCTTCGGACCTGGGACCCTCAGTTGTATAGGCTGTGGCACTTTCTGGTTCTGCTTGAATACCACACCTTCTGCAGTGGTGGGCAAGGTGCAGCCTCACTGGCCCTTCCTGTTGGGTTTATTGTTGGCATGCGCTAATTGACTCTGTCAGTTGCTGTTTGATTTCATTTCCTGTTTCTTCTTTGGATTCATGTGATCACCTTCTTTTGATCTTTCTCTGGCCTCTATCAACCTTGATGCACATCTTTCTTCCTCACTCTGAACAACAGCCTCTTAATATATATATATACACCTTCCATATTAGCACAACTAAGAATCCCCATTCTTCACAATGCTGTCAATGTCTTATCCACATGGTCAAACGCCTTTGAATAGACAATAAAACACAAGTAAACATGTCTCAGGTATTTTTCTCCTTACAGACCGGGTCTCTCTGACAATTCTTTTCCACCTTCTACATATATGCTGTTTCCAGAGTTTATTGCAAGCTTCTTTTCTTAGCTTGATCCTAAATCCTGGCAGTCTTTAGGATGCAAATATTATCTCTTTACTGTCAGTCCATACAGTCCCTCCAGTCAGTGTCATCACAGTCATGGTTAAATTAGCATCGTTCCAGCCTGGTTTCTCATCTCAGATGGTATCTATTGACTCTTCCTCATGGTCCACTGGCACCTAAAAATCTACACTTCATCGACGGAGCTGCTCAGACATCTCCTCCTCAATTCAACCTGCTTGTTCTGATGTTTTCCTTACTTGCACCCCTGCAACCAGGGTACACACAGCAGCCTTAAGTCACAAGCTAGAATATTATTTTTCATATTTGCTTCTTCCATACTAGGACAATCCATCCACTTCGTAAGTCCAGCAGAATACAGTTCTACCTTAATTTTGGAAACTGCCCACATGTGTCCTTCCCCAGAGAAACAACACAGTGGACTTGACAACAAAGTCCAGGTTCTGGGTCCAGCTGCCTAAGTACGTCCAGCAATTCTGTCACCTGACACAGAGTTGTCTGAGCCCACCAGCAGTTTCTTAGAAAAGAGCTTAGAAATGCCTGGCACACAGGCAGCCTTCCATGAGAACTATGTTTATCATAAGCCCCAATGCTGTTAACTTCAAGATTACACCACTGCTTGTCTGGATTGTTCTAATAGTTTTTAACTGGCGTCCTTGACTCAAACCATGTCCCTTTATAACTTTTCCAGATAGCGCAGTGAGGATGAATTCACCAGAAACAGAACTGTAAAGTTAGTTCTTATGTCAAACACACTCCTGACCTTGTGAGCTATCAGTCCAGGCACTACAAGCAAGGTCCTGCGTAGTCTCAGCTGAGGTCTACCCTCCCTGGATCCACTTCTTAGCCATCACTCCTTACTACGATTAGAGTCCAAGACTTCCCTGCTTTTAGCTTCAGGGTTTGTTCTGGTCACAGGTTTACTTTTCTCTTCTTCAAACTCCCACCACTGCACATTTATGTGGTCCTTGGCACTCCAAGGACAAGTCAAGTTCTTAGGAAGAACCACTCTGCAAAACCCGGTATCTGACATCTTTCTCTTTCCAGGACGCTGAGGGGCAGGGCCTGCTCTGGAAGCAGCTGACACCACAGGGACTCCAGGGTGAGGGGTCTGGGGGAAGTGAAGCGTCTACTCTTCTAATTTCAGGCTGTTTCTGTTCAGACTCTGGATCCTTTTTCCTTTTACCACAGGCGCCCCCAGCAGAATGACACAAAGGTGAGGTGAGTACGGGGCCTGTAAAACAGCCAGATTCCAGGCGATGGAAAGCATTAGATGTGCCCCTGGGCATCCCAAACCAGATTAAATGACGGTGGAATAGTACGAGTTTTGGCAAGTTCTTTTTTTTTCTATTTCTGTAATTCTGTCTCTACTTTTGATGATCCTTTGGGACACCACGTGCCCATAGATCTTTTCCTATTCTCGTGCATCTTCCCCTCACTTATGCCACGTGCGCCCAACGGAACCTCCCAGGAAACGAACTCCCTTCATTGGATGGTGCTGGGGGAGGCAGCTTGACCCACATGCCGGGCCCAGGAACAAGGCACGTTGTGCTCAGGCGCCCCCAGCGGCGGTCTCCGGAATTCTGACTCGAAGAGGCCAGAAGCTGGGACACTTGACTGGACACTGAGCTGTGTGCTATGAAGTCAGGGAGGACCACACTCTCCAAAGATCGCTGGCTGCCCTTGCTAGAACTGGTGGTGCTCCTTATTGAAAGCTCTCTCAGCAAAGACTTCATTTTCCACCCTGAGTGGGGGTTTGATTCTTACGAAATCACTATCCCCAAGAAGTTGAACTTCCATTCCCAGTGGCAGGGTATAGCCCAGCACGAGTCCTATCTCCTGAAGTTAAAAAGCAAGAATCATGTCCTCCACCTGCGGCCTAAGAAGTTTTTGTTGCCCCGGCATCTGCAGGTTTTCTCCTTCACGGAACAGGGGGAGCTTCTAGAGGATCACCCTTATATACCCAACATCTGCAACTATATGGGTTCCGTGCAAGAGTCTCGGGAATCTGAAGCCACCGTGAGTACGTGCATGGGGGGTCTGCGAGGCATCCTGAAAATTGATGAGGAACTCTACCAAATCGAGCCCCTCAAGGACTCTCCCAAGTTTGAGCATGCTGTGTATGTCCTGAATAAGGAACATTTGAACAACTGGACTTGTGCCTTCACTAATAATGAGAAAGAAGTGCAAATGACCCCACCTGAGCACATGACAAGAATAAGGGACTTTCCTGGATCCTATGAGCACCCGAAATATATGGAATTAGCCTTGTTATTTGATCATGACAGATATTTGTTTGTGAATTCCAATCTAACACAAGCAGTAAGTGATGCCTTTCTTCTTACTGGAATTATGGACACCTATTTTCAGGAAATCAATATGAGGATACACCTAAAAGCTCTGGAAATATGGACAGATAAAGACAAAATAAATATTGAAGTGAAGAAGTTAACTGATGTTCTAAGCCAATTTTTATTATACAGAAAAAAGAGCCTAAATGCACGTATTCTATCAGATTGGTCACATTTATATGTTAATAGGCAGTTTCCTGATGCTCATGGATGGGCTTTTGCTGGATTAATGTGTAGTAAAATGCATGGAGGATCTACAAGTGTTTTTCCAAATGCAGATATCCTGGGACCTGGCATTTGGTCTACTCATGAACTTGGCCATGGTTTGGGAATGAAACATGATAAAGAATACTGCCAGTGTAAAGGTAAACACAGTTGTATCATGGGCACTGGACATACTGGATGGAGTAATTGTAGTTTTATCTATTATTTTCAGTTTTTACATTCGAGAGCAACCTGTCTAAGTAACCTTCCAAACATAGGTTTTTCATGGGAGAAATGTGGAAACAAAATTGTGGAAGCACAAGAGGAATGTGACTGTGGTTCAGATAAAGATTGTCTAAAAGACAAATGTTGTCAACCAGACTGTAAACTGGTACCTGGTGCACAGTGCAGTACTGGTCTCTGCTGTCATAACTGTCAATTCCGCCCTCCTGGATATATATGTAGACTGAAAAAAAATGAATGTGACCTTGAAGAGTACTGCAATGGGACCTCGGGTTTCTGCCCAGATGACTTTTATAAGCAAGATGGAACCCCTTGCAGATACGAATCCCATTGTTTCAGAAAAAGGTGTCAGTCCAGGTTTATGCAATGCCAAAGAATTTTTGGACCAGATGCTAGAAATGCTCCTCTTCGGTGCTATGAAGCTGTGAATTCAATAGGTGATCAGTATGGTAACTGTGGTGTTGTTAAAGGAAGTTATTCTTATGAAAAGTGTAGCAAAGAAAGTATACTATGTGGCAGATTGCAATGTATACATGTCAAAAGTCTTCCTAATATGCTAGATCATACTACAATAATTAGCACTCACCTGAAAGAAGAAAACTTCATGTGTTGGGGCACAGGTTACCACGTTGGCATGACAACTCTGGGGATACCTGACCTGGGTGCAATAAATGATGGCACCTCCTGTGGCCTGAACCGGATATGTGTTAATAGAAATTGTGTTAATATCTCAGTTTTTCAGTATGACTGTTTCCCTGAGAAGTGCAATAAGCGAGGTATTTGCAACAATAAAAAAAACTGCCACTGCATGTATGGGTGGGCCCCTCCATTCTGTGAGGAGGAAGGGTATGGAGGAAGCATTGACAGTGGACCTCCAAGGTCATTAATTACAGAGTCGTCCTCCACAGTTCAGGTCATGCCCATTATGTTATTACGCCTTCTTTTCTTAATCATCTCAATCATTATTGTGCTTCTAAGGAAAGCTATGTGAAACTGTCTAAAATCCAAACAGAAAAAAAAAA